CAAAAGTTAGCTCTGCTTATTCTGCTTGGCGTGCACATATGTACCTAACCGGAAACTGAGTCAGACTACTTGACTCTCTATGCCCTGGTGGCAGCCGTTTTATGAGTTGCAGTCCGAAAAATGTGTTGCAAAGAATATTAAGAGCAACGCGTCAAATTTTTAACAGACTCGGCTACGTACTTGCAAATATTGATAATGCGTACAACAACTAGTTTCTCAGTGTCCAACTTAGAGGTGATTCGGTCCTTGACTAGATGTAATATTTCATCTTTCAAACGATCGAGTAAATTAAGAACTCGTAGCATTGACTTGGTACACAATATCTGACCTGCCCTTCGTTTGCTTGTGAAACACATAAGCATCTCTCTCTCCTTGCCTGAGAAATCAGAAACTAACCATCCTAATAATCAAGTTATGTTTCCAAGAAGCAAACTAGCCATTTACTTTTGCTCCGGTTGACGCCTAAATAAAATAGACATTGCAACGGCTAATTACTGATGAAATAAAAAACAACTGGTAGATTATTTGTTCCCTGAATTGGTGCAAAACTGTACTGAATCTGTTTCATGGGTCTGAAACTATTAATCTTTCCATTAAACACGAAAACCTCTGATGTATAAAATAATGGACCTTAAATATTAGCTCTTGTGGTACTCAAACTTCTTTTGTGACCGCCGAGGAATGAGCTTGAATACAGAGCTTTGTTATTAGACTCGAACATAGCTTTACATGCGCTGAATGCCAGCCATCAGATCGATGTGGATAATGTCGAAATCCTTCGAAGGGGTTTACGAGCGAAGCCTTAGAGGTTAATTGCTGAGGCAATCAAGAGTTAAAGCTGATGACTGTGTGAAATAAAGGGAAGGCGTAGAATTCTCGCCTGCCAAGTGAGAAATCTTAACCAGTTCGATGTGACGAGCGTCGATACGCGCGTTAGGTTGGATAGCAAAGTGACATCGTTCTTATCTTCACCTAGTCGTTAATCGACAAAATGACGGGGAGTGAAACTACGACAATAACCCCATTCTGATTGACAACTCGAGAGGACTGGCATTGCTCACAAACCTCAGTAGCATGGTGAGCAAGGCATCAGCCGTGAACCACTAGGCTTCAATTTCCACCCTAGCTCATGCTGTCTACACCTGAAGAGTCCAAAGCAGGACGAAACCGGCGGTCGTGGGGTCGCAGTTTTGAGGGAGCAATACCCAAACACCTCCATTGTGGATATCGTCCATGTGATCTGACTGACCGAGGTCTACTTCAAAGTGAACATAGGTCTCAATAGCGGTTGCCAACCGAAATCCAACTCCAACTTTGAACTCGAGACGACTTTTCCATCTGTGTCTGTAAGAACCTCTTGACTCGTATCTCATATCTCCCTTGCTATAAAATGCCACACCACTAGGTACCCATTCAACTGACCTGAAGAAGCTGTTGTGTTAAAAGCGAAACGTTTCCCACAAAAGAAACTAACCGATTGTCCACAAATCTCTCTGTAATTAAAAGTTTTAATCATCGTATTAAACACTGTTCACGGAGCTCCCGCCCAGTGACAACGCGTAAGCCGTCGACCACTGGATAGGGGTTCCACTCTCAGCTCAAACCAGCACTAACTGAGTGGTCCAACTCCGGACAACAATGGTCGTGGATTACAGTGTTAGAAGCGAAGAGCATCGCATCTCTGCACCCAAACTTAAGTATTTTAGTTCCTTGTAAACGAGAACCGATCGCTTAATAGTTGGGCTATGCACTCCACAGCTAAGCAATCACCGGTAATACTGACGAAATAATTCCCTTTGTAAGTTCCATTCATTAACGCACGCGCTTGTTGCCTCTTGCAGTGGGATTTGCCGCCAACATTTCCACGGTCAACACAAGACGCATGCTGTCAAAGCATGACATTTCCAAAGGAATTATTCACATTTAGATTAAGGCACGGATGAGCTTTCTGGTTTGGAAAAGTTTCAGTGAAGTCCGAAGGGTTGCTCTCTGCTTGACGAGATAGTGAACATCACGCAGGCTATCGCGGTGACGCAACCCAACCTCAAGTGTTCTTCATATGCTACAACTTGGAACTTCCTTGTAACAAAGATTGCTTTCGAAATGTGGCTTGATCGGGAGTTACAGTCTGCTATTTGTCCTAAAGAGCACAAAGTTCACAATATGGCTAACGGCCTCGGTCGGTAAGCTCAGGCGACTTTCCGGTATTAACGACCGGTGGATCCAGTTTGCTGGCTTCAATCGATCGGTTGAAATATTCAGAGGACTTTTTGATGCAAAAGGACTAGGTGAATTATGAATACATTGAAATATTGACTAAGATTCGAATAAACAGCTAAGAATGAGCCTAAACTGAGTGAAACGAGAGGTAGCTCCGGAAGACTGTTAAACGTGGGAAGCAAGCGAATTCTAGGAAAAACATACATTTCATGAAATGAGAAGGCTGAATTTAAATGCATCGCTTGAGTCCATCCAAAGTCACAAACGTTTTGTGTTGGTACAATAGTGGGCAAGAGAAATGTGACCATTTGATTTTGTTATCTCGCGGATGGAATGGGTTTGCGCAACCGAAATCTTAAGAGGCATTCGGTTGATCAACAATCACCTAACTGTGGGGTGTTATATTGCGAACAATGTTTTTTGTCAAATGCTGATAGACAAACTTGTCCAAGGACGTTAGCTATGTTCCGTTTAAATCGCTTCCCTTAGCACACGTCAGCTTATAAGTACCTTTTGATCTTATCACTGTTGAAGGGTTAGGTAATGTAGTTTAAAATCCAATCCTGTTAACCATCATCATGAGCAATAGCAGTACATTAACTAATTGTACTGATGCTTCCTACCATACAATTATAATGATCCAATGATTGAATAATAATAGGAGGTAGAGAGACGGACCACGAGTAACACCTAAGCGTCCTAAGTAAACATTTTGGGTTAAGGTAACTTGCCAACGAATACAATCGCAAACATCTGGCTATCATGTAAAGATAAGGCGGCGTAGGCGAGTAAACTTCATTGTGGCTTGCGCTACTCGGCATATCAATCAGCTAAAAACCTGCAGATAACTTAGCACCAGATAAATTAGATGCAGCAAGAACATTTGTTTGAATTGATTTGAAACAGACATTTCACTCTTGAAGTGCCTATGTACTCACTTGAAAAGCCGCTAGATGCAGAGTCCTTTACATGTAGACCACATGGCTGCTTCTGTGCGGCCAGTTAAACCAACAGCTGTGTTACAAGTCAGCACCAGATCTGAGCTTCTGGTACAGGAATAATTTCTTCAACAGGGCGTCTTAAATTAGTCCAAAGAGGATCAATTATACAGCAAGTTAACTCAGTAAGTTGTCTAAGCTAGTTAAACTTGACAACGGTGGTTTTATCAACCGCCTCCACTCCGACAGTAGACGAACTCATGCATTACTTTAGTTATCATGGTTGTCCTGGTTATGTGGTCCTGATGTACGTATTTGCTCGGGGATAGGTTATTTGTGTGTTTGAACTTACTGCAGCAATTTCGTATCTCCCATGTTTCTATAACTCAATGGCAATAAAGCTTTACCTTGTCTTATTGAATGATTCGGTTTCGCAATGTACGTTAGGTAACTGTATCGGATACTTGCAGCGTCCGTCGAATGTCTAAGTTGCAGCAAGTAGCCTGGAACAGTCTCATACACTATGCGGGTACTTAAAATGCCACCAATTGCTTCCCAACATCTGGGAAAACGTTGTTCGCGGATAGCCTTTGTCCAACGGAAAAACATTAACTTTGCCGTCTATCGAGGCCCGGATCCTGCTACATCTGCGTGATGCGTCTAGGCGAGTGGTTCAGCATGGTGTTTGCGACCAGCAACACAGAAGGCCACTCCAAATCGGCCTTATTCTGAGTTATTTAAATTAATTGTTGTTCAAAATGAGACTTTTATGATCGATACATCAGCAAGAAATAAAAATCTTACCGCCATGCTCTAACTGTCATACCAGACCTAATACTGACAACTCCGTGTCATATGTGCTCTCCAGACTTGAATCTCATCGTCGACTGCGTGTCATTCAGCATTCCAAATCACACATCCTATTTAGGTGCTTTTTCCTTTTAAATGACGACTTTTCATACGCGTAATACTGAGTGGTTTGCGTGTATCATGCCAAATGCAACCCATCTCCTCGATGGATGGTGCCGCTTTTATACCCAGTGGAAGCTCGTACATGAGCTTGAGAAAGAGCCGCGATTGTTATTCCATTTTATTTACCAGAATTCTAGGTGCGGTTTCGACTCAATGTCACCAAGTCTGCACCCTGAAGAATATGGTGGGTCCGAACTATCACTAGCTTTCGTTGTCAACTGATAACTAAGCTACATAGTATAGTCACCTCTACGGTCTTTTAAGCACTCAGCCACGATTATATACCAAGAGGACTAAACACCATTCTCCGGATTAAGGACACCTCTAAATTAATCAGCCAATGTAGTACCATTAATGATCCCGACTACACCATCTCAAGAAGGCAATACAACCACACCATGTGGCAACTACCGGCAGCAAAGTAATTTCGTGAATCTCGAGGTCAAATAAGAATGGTTTAAACCTTAGACCCCAATAAAAATCGATTTATCACCCTCGGTGAGCACTAACTTTAAGGTTCTGAAGTGTCGGACGAACGCAGGACTAACATGCGAAGGCAACATCTACCCTTCCCTCCCGGAGAACCTTTTTGATCTTTTGAAAGGTTCGTACTATCTAAAACTTGACTCGTGATTAGCTAATTATTACCGAAACACAGAGATAAATGAATTGCCAGTGCAGCAATGGAAAAGTACCAGAAAATGAAACACTTAAATACCTGCCTTTACTTCAAGCACTTACACTTGGGCCACACTTTTAGATTAAATGCACTGAATACACTTCGCCGTGTACACATAGAATAACTAACTGTCAGGAATGTATAACAATCTACCCATAACACATCTGAAACAAACTACTGTGCACACTTACTGGTCCCCGCCACTGACGGCTCTTTGCCAATTTGACGAAGGATTTCTGCCCAATAATCCACCTGGAAGAGCATTGAAGAAATGAATAGTAAAATTAACACATTGACCGTCAAACATCTTCGCAACAAAAGTTCATGAATATAATGAACCTTACTTCAGAACTACGTCTGGCCTTACCCATAAATTGGCTCGCCTATACGGGTGCAATAACTCTAACTCAGATAAGCTGCGTGGTTGTATGGCTTCGACAAATGTAGATCCACTAGAAGAATCTGGGAAAATTAATCAACTAAAAGAAATCAGTGTTTTCAAGCTACGTTGCAGTAGGTGCTCGCTTCTGTTCACAAAACAGACAACGTGTTTATGTCAGCTCATATCTCAAAAATACTAACACTATGAAACTAGTAAAGTAAACGTAGTAAGTCTAAACATGAACAGGCTTGTAGTTAGGAACTTTGAAAGCCAACACAGGTATGATACCGGTTGAAGACAATTTAATGCGGTGGTCGTTCAGTTTCTGGTCGAGAATAATCACTAACTTTGCTGTATTAGTAGGCAGTTGAAATGAACCTGATCATTCGGCTGTGTAGTGTAACGAAAAACACGCTCTTTCGGTATTTTGCAACATTGGAATTCACGGTTGTTTTAACCTTCAAAACGTCGACTTGTTTTACTGACAGCACTTTCACTGACACAAATGGCTTTAGTGAGTATTTTGCAGCACCGTTTCCGGCTCTGGTTGATTCGCTTCCTATTATTTTGTAACCTGCACAATAGCATTCGGGTTCATTCTCCTCCAAATTCTATACTGTCTCATATTTGACATGTCTCTTACGTGTCATTGATTACTGACTGGTATCCCAGCAGCCACCCAACAATTGGTGACCCTGGTCTAGAAGACGCCGTCCGCTATTTTAAATTTCATTCCGGTGAGCTCTTTCCAGTGATTTTCTGATTTATTACTTGTACTCATTGTTTTCTCACCTGCCACCATTTTATCCGCTTTTTGCAATGGATTATCTAGAGGATGAAGCATCTGCATACGCGGGTAGGGCCGTTGAGCCTGTCATGATCAATTCTGTTGCCTTAGCCTCTCCACCTTTTTGGGAAAATGATGCTCCATTTTGGATTTTGCACCTAGAATATGATTTTACATTTGTAGTATTTCTTCTGATTTCGCCATGTATAATCAGCGAATATCACGCCTTCCTCAGCGTATATCCTCGGAGGTGAGGGACATCATATCTTGCCCCACCCTTGTAATGAAATACGTGACTGTTAAACAGAACATTATTCAGCGAATCACGCCTTCTGACAAGGTCCGTCTGCAGTAACTATTTAGTGATTTGCAACTAGAAGATAGGATGCCCTCAGCCTGGTTGTGCGCAAGGCAACAGCTCATCGGCACGTCCAACATGGACGTAGGCATTCTCGGTGAGCTGTGGAGGCAAAGGCTTCCTGAAAGCATTCAGGCTATCCTTGCAGTAGCAAGTGAGCTGCCACTCAAAGCATTTGTAGACCTAGCAGGACGCGTCATCGAACGGCAGCAGACAGAGACTAAAAACAAAGCACCTAAGCAAGTTTGTGCTGGGGCAATCACACCGACACGCGCGACTAGCCAGCCGTCGGCAGTAGAGGCATTATCATCACAGATAGCGTCGCTTCAGCGCCAGATCGAGGAACTAACTTTAAACCGTAAGCACCGCAGCAGCTCCTAATTATCGCCCAGTCGCACAGAACGTGATAACACAGGTTACTGCTTTTACCGCTCGAGTTTCGCTAATAAATCCCATAAGTGCGTACAGCCGTGTAGATACTCCGCTACAGATGGTCCGCCAGGCCGGCCCGTAATGTCGACTAACGGTGTCGGCAAAGCTCAAAGTCGTCTCATCTACATTAGGGATCATGATTCCGAGACCCAGTTCTTAGTTGATACCAAGACGAAAGGCAGCGTCACTCCCCCTATGCCAGATGAGACTATCGCTTCTTTCTCGACAAGCCTAAATGCCGCCAATGGCCCCCCAATAGCCACCTAAGGTCATCGGTCGCTTACCCTGGACCTAGGTCTTCGGCGCGTTCCGCTGGGTATTCAGTGTGACTGCAGTCTCCTTTACCATCATTGTCACTGACTTTCTCAGGCATTGCAACCTAGTGTTCGATGCGAAACGCCAGAAGATAGTCGACACTGCAACAAAATTCAGTGTACATGACATCACCGCCGATAGCGCATCTATAACATCAGTCTACGCCTTTCCCCAGACCTCACCAGATAACGCCAACCACTTTTCTCAGTATTCCAAGCTCGTTCAGCCAATGGACTAAACTTTGCTCGTGACATCCTAACTCACGCACCACATACAGACGAATGGCCCACCCGTCTCATGTCGTCCACGCCGACTATCGCCTGAGAAACTAAAGGTGGATAGGGCGGAGTTTGAGCACATGCTCATACTAGGAATATTCCGTCCTTCCGACAGCCCTTGGTCCTCGCCCCTGCAGATGGTCCCCAAGAAATCTGGTGATAGGCGCCCTTGCAATGGTTACTGTGCACTCAATCGGCTAACTGTCCAAGATAAGTATCCCATCCCACACATACAGGAACTTACCGCATGCCTCAGGGGTAAGACGATCTTCAGCAAGATCGATCTAGTTCGCGCCTATCACCAGATACCAGTAGAAGAAAATGATAATCCTACAACAGCCGTTATCACTCCTTTCGGCTTGTTTGAAATTTTATGAATGCCTTTTGGACTGTGCAACACCGCACAAACCTTCGCACGCTTCATCCACGATGTCACTCGTGGCCTAGACGTCGCTTATTCCTACCTCGATGATATTTTAGCAGCCAGTTCATCGGAACAAGAGCACCTCGAGCATCTTCGAACTCCCTTCCATCGCTTGACCAAACACGGTGTCACGGAACCCGACTAAGTGCGTACTAGGCAAAACAACAATACCATTCCTAGGCCGCCTCGCTTTATCATATGATATCAAAGTTCTTCCGGATAAGACCCAAGCAATCAAGGACTTCCCAGCTCCGATTTCGTTCAAACGCCTCCTTCGATTTTGGAGTTTGGTCAACTACTATCGACGCTTCATTCTGCGCTGCTTTCATCTCATGCAGTCTCTGACGGACCTATTCGGAGGGAATGGACTTAATTTTGCTTTCCCTGATGCAGCACAAACAGCCGCTGAGCTCAAGGATTCTATCCCCAACATAGCCTTCCTCGTTCATTCCAAATCGACTGCACCCCCTTCTATTATGACTGATGCCTCAGATGGCGCGATAGGAGCCGTCCTCCAAAAACACGTTGGTGGGCAGTGGCTACCCTTTGCGTGCTTCTCCAAGCGCCTGCAGTCAGCGGAATCCCGCTACAGCAGGTTTGACACCGAACTGCTCGCCATTTACCTAGCCATTCATCACTTCCGGCACACAATCAAAGGCCGCGTTTTCCTAGTCTCGACTGACCACAATCTCTACACCATATCACCACCACCTACAGTCATTCCCACTTCGCTGCCCCATTACTGACCCTGACCACATAATTCAGTAGAATTATTCATTCTAAGCTAGTGGTAAGTGAGAGATCTACAACACAGATTCTGAACTCTCCTTTTCTATCTGATCCCTTCTGGAAATGGTGCAAGTCAAAATAACAAAGTACACGCATCAAGTGGATATGGCTCATTCGGAAATCAATTGTGACCTATGTGTAAAAACTGTTAAGTCTGGTCCAGTTTGCTTTAACTGTCAAAAAGCGTACCATTCGAATTGTTTAGGGTTGAGTGCACACGAAACTAGACAATACAGCAGCAAAACCGAAGCATTTTGTTTCTGCCAGGTGTGCAAATCCGTTCCTGTCGTTAGTTGTGTAATTTTCCTAATGAAAAAGTGTGAAAAGTTGGCGGAAACAGTTGAGCAACTGGTGAACCCTCGCAACGCAGCTGTGAAAGTAAACAACGCTATACCTGAAACTGAACGGACACCTACAAACTCCCCGTTTAGGCCGAGGAAGAGGGCCAGGCATCCCAACCCCACCATCGCGTCTCAGCCTCCAACGTCCCCTAGCCTCGTGACTCCACTAAGTGAAAAAGTCGTTTACCACCCACTTGCTACTACGTCCTCCAAGGGTGTAATAACTAGTAATTCAGTTGACATACTCGACACACAAAACTCCAGCAAGCCTACGGTAAAAAATAACTGGACATCCTACGCAGCGGTTGCTTCTAGGAAAGCGCCGTCAAAGACACCTGTGACTCCACTTACCGGAGAGTTCAAAACTGTGCCTCAATATGGATCGCTATCGCCAGTGCGGTTCACAAATCCATAAAAAGCAAAAGAACCAAGTGCTGTTAAGTCGCAAACCACAAGGCGGAAGCATGGTGCCTTAAGTCTTGTGTGCACTAACGTTCCTGAATCCAAATCCACAATAAGGGGCAAAATGATAGACGATCGTAGTCAGTGGGACTCCATCTGTAGTGCCATCAGCATGTGCGCTGAACCCACTAAGCTGAGCCGCATCGCAAGACACCCAAACAACTTACACTATGGTGAACCTCGACTACTTCGAATAACACTACATTCCGCGGAAGAAACGGAATCTATACTGCTCGCTGCAAATCGACATCACAGAGTATCGAACGGAGTGCGTATCTTACCGGATATTCCGTGGAAAGAACGTTCAAAGGATATGAGCAATCAACAGGGAAGTAGAAAACACGCGCAGAAAACGTCATTATTCATGGCGTCCTCGAGTCTCAAGCTTCACCTCCTGAAGAAGCTCAGGCACATGACCTGGAGCAACGGCGATACATTCGTGACGCGCTGTCTTTAGAAAATGTCATTGCTACCTCACTGACCAGGATTCCCATGTCACCAAATTACAAAGGGTGTGGTCCTAGGTTGCTGAAGTTGGTCTTACCGTCTGAGCTAACTTTACAGACAGTTCCATAGAACTGGGGTAAATTCCAGAACATGCTACCAACAGAAATTCGAATAAAAGCAGCAGGTTTACGACCAGAGGCTACTGGTTACTCCATGAAGAGAACCAACTCAGTGGAA